ATTTACTGAAAGACAACAAGTATCAGGAAATTGTACACCAAGTACTTAAAAACTTTGCAGCTAAAATATTTTAAGATAAGAATTTTCAAGATTAGATTAAGGGTGGGAAAAAGTCACAAATTCAGCTCCTTTTTGTATTTTTGTATTCTAGATATTCAAATTCTATCCTGACATCCCAAACAAACCCTACAACATTTCAAGTGAGTCCTCGAAGTTATTTCTGTGAGAACTATTAGTCCTTTTTACTATCTATAATACTCAACAAAAAAAATCTTATCAGCTACTTAGGACCACATTTGCTACATTTGTGTGACTTCAAACTCCCTTCCTTAGTTTTTTAATTTTTATCTTCTACAATTATCAAGTTTTTCTTTCACAGAACAATCAGACCACATTATTTCTATGTGCCAAGACACGTGTTTCTGAGTGCTTATTTCCTGCCCCTCAAAGTCTTCTCTGCACTCTTGAGATCCCAACGTTAAGGGAAATTTCCTGTCTGACCATCCAGGATCCACTCTGGCAGTCACTCCCACCATCAGAGACTTTCACAGCTGGCACCTCAGCCCCTTCACAGTGGGTGGTTTTATCCCTCAGAGGGCTCTTTTCCCACTTAATTAAAAAAATCTAACTTAGATCATCCAGCATTTAAGTCCCTAAAAGCAACACTAGAAAGATTTATACAAGTATTACAGCTATTTCAATTCACAATTAATGTATCAGTTACCAAAAACCAAAATTAAAATCAGGTTTTATTTAACTCACTTCTGCTCACCACATTGCAAGAACGGTTTCAAAGACCTAGGATCTTGCTAGTGGCCTATGAAACCCTGGTATTATGGAATGGAATACCAAAAGTTATCAATGTTTACAGGAAATCCTGAAATTAACATAGAATTTTACATTCAGGCCATATGCTAACAGGGTAATGAAAACAGCTGTATTGTATTTAAGCACACATAGAAGTTTGAAATAGTTTATTTATACCAAACACATTAAAAAACTCACAAACAAAGCACTTCAATATGACAGTGAAATATTATTAAGCCAAGATTACTTAAAATAGTGAGAAGTCTTCAGAACTTACTGGCTTACAACTCACATTTTGACTCTCAACATTTTTCTTCATTTTAAATTAGGTTTATATCTCAATTTTGAACAAATTAACTAATACTGCAAATAGCTTTGTGGTTTTTATTAAAATCAGATTTTTTCCAAACAGTTCCAAAATGCTACTGCTGCTGCTTATGCTGTTACAAGCTTAAGAGTTTCAGGAGGATTTTAATGATTATATTAAAAGACTGTAGGTTTAAACATTCCTCTCAACAGAAATCTTAATTGAATGCTGGAAATTTTCTGGAAAAAATGCTGAAAGCCAAGGTCAAGATTCCACAAAGGTCTAATAAATATGAAATATAGCTGAATTTAGTCTTAATTACTGGCTTAGATATGTGGGATATTATACTACAGTTAAGAATGCAAAATTTTTGGGAAACTCAGAACTTAAAATTAAACAGGGCAGATGGAGAGCACTCTTTCAACTTCTATTTCAAGATAAAATGATATAACACCAGCACCTAAATATTACTTAGATTTTCAACACCTTAACAACTGAGGAATTCATTCCAGGCAATGTCATGACTCATGACAGCTAAGGCAAGAAAAAGGGTAATAACTGCAAAAACCTGCAAAGACCATCTCTTTTTCATTTTTTGTCTTCCTCTTACTTAATGACTGCCATAAAACACCGGCCTTGAGGTTTTATCAATGCAGATAAGCAGCTCAAGCAAAACATTTCGGGTGGGAAGCATACATATTTTCGAATTCTATACTAAAATTACAAAATGAAACAAATTAGAACTCCTCTGCTTGACAATTTAAAAATATAAGTATGGAAAAAACCCACACTAACCCATCAGAATTACAAAAAGCAGTTACAATTTAGTTGTTTGAACCACTGTCATTTATAGTATTTATGCACGTCATTGACGGTTTATATTACCAAAATTGGAAAAAAGTATTCCTGGCACCTGATTTTTCAAAATCAGCACCCAAACTTATGACTGGACTTGTCACACAGACACATATCTTAGAAGTTCACTGCCCTCATCTACTGACCTATAAGCAAAGCGAACAACTATGGCTCTGTCCCCATTAGAAAGTAATCTGAAACCGCAGAAATGGATCAGTAGACCAAAGCAGCTGGTGCTGACACTCCTATGCTAGCTGTTCAAGAGGGTTTATTTTGGATTAGATTTCATCTGGTCTCCAGAAGCAAACATCATTATCGCATGGATCATTCAAATTTTTCCAGGAATTTCATGATTGATGCAGAACTCCATGTCCCCAGTAGAGACAGAAGAACACTCTACACCTGCAGCAGAACTCACAGACCAGTTTTCTGAGAAAGGAATATAGTTCAAAAACACACTAAGCCAAGCCAAGCAAGTGGTAAGGGGAGACAACAGTGAAATTTTTTCCAAAGCAGTTTTAATCATCCAAATCACAATTGCAATGAATGCTTCGGAGTTATACCCTTCCTTTTCAAATCAGACTAATCAACAGAGATATCATGTCACAAACAGAATACCTGATGGCACTGAAAGACTTCAGAAAAATTCTGTAAGCATTCTTCATAATGACTCACAATTGAAAAACAAAATCATGATAAAAGACCATCTACTGGCTTCCACAAAAAAATTTATTTCCTCTGTGCCATAATTCAGCAGAAGACATAAATCTAGATATCCCTATTCCTTAGGCTCCATTTCTCCCTTCTTTGCTTATTTACTTCATCTTTTATGTCCTGTTTTCTCACTTCAAATCTTTTACTTCTCTTCTTGTTTCTATCTTATTTCTTTCAGCCTTACTCTTATTTATTTCTTCATTTCCTCCTATTACTTGTGCTATTAAATACAGTAAAGGAAAATACTCTTGCATTTCTGAACTTTCAGACAGAGGTGTCACTATTGTTTTTTTCCCTGGAAATTCAGATAGTATAGTCTGAGACAGGTTTGTAAGCACTACTACTGTGATTTAACTTGCCCTACCTAACTCAAACAAAATTTAAAACGGGTAAAAGATGATAATGGGTTTACTGCAGTAACTCAAATCAATCTCTAAATCCCATGCTAACCAACTATGGGAATTGAGAAAAATCAGATTAATGACACAGGAAGACTGAAATTAGCTTGGCTCTAAACATCATCTCAGCAAACAGCCACAGGAACAAAGAAATAGTACGGGAAGCTAATCAAGCAATTTATGGAATGCAAGAACTTCATTAAAGAAACACTATATGAAATATATTTGATCAAAAGATCAATTTTATTATGATCTCTTGGGAACATTAGAGTAGCAATAAAGAAAAAAAGCAAAGAATTGAGAAAAATTGAATTAAAAAATGGACAACAGTTATGGAAATATACTGCTGAAGCAGAATTTGAAGGACCAAATCAACAGTAGATGGGTGATAAAGGAAAAGCACAAAGAGTACAGAAGAAAATCTTCTTACTCAGTGTTTGTACTGATGCTACAATGGAGTCGAGGAGATTAGACCTGTTCACTTCTCACAGTCCAGCTAGAACATGCTCAGTAGCTCTGTCTGCTTATGACTAAAAGGATTTGGAATATATCTACCTCATCTGATTTGGACAGATGAAATGGATTCAGGAAATTCATTGAACTGGCAGAAAACATATTTCCAGAAATCTATCATACTGTCTAATGTAAGTGGGATAGCAGAAAAAAATACTGCAGCTTAACAATTTCTTTCTCCTAAAACCTTGAGTGCTTGCTCCAGCATATGCAGGTGCTTTATTTTTCCAGTGGCAAGATTTTCATTGCATTGTGCATCAAGAAAACAGTATGTTCTTCCCTCTCAACTCATTCTCAGACACAAGCTAATGTTTGGTCAAATTTTAGGTGAAGGAGACATATAACAGAGATTTACATCTTAGCAAAATACAAGCAACGAAAACCATGGTTCTGGAACAGAAAGTGTCAGGCATCATTAACTACAAGCACTGCTACCTGTAATTCCATTCATGACCAAACTTCATGCATGACCAAGCACCTCCGATGCATTATAAGCCACTTGGAATACAGGAAGGCTTTCTGCCAGCAAGACAAAATAATCCCATTTCAGCAAGATTGGTACAATGTCTGTTCTACATAAATAGATCAATTTCTTGGATTTCTTTTGACTCAGTATAAAAGTGTATGTTTTGACCCAGTCAAAAAGCCAAGAGAACATCTGAAAAATAACACCTACTTAGAAAGATAAAACAAAAAACACATACATGAAGTCTACAGAGGGCCATGGCCATGATCCTCATGATACACTGAATCAAAATTCCTTTGTTGCTCAAAAGATGAACCATAAACAAACTACCCTGCTGTTTTGTGCTTCTCTCTGTGTGATGTACAAAGCAATCAGCAATCTCACTGCAAGACACGACATGGATAAGTCTTGCAAAGATGAAAATCTGCACCTCCTGATGCATCCTCAGCTGGACAGTACACACTGTCCAATCAAGGAAGCAGGGAGAAGCAACCCTTTCATAAACAAGGTGATCTACCACACACAAAAAAACCCCAAATAAATAAACAAACAAAAAAACACTCAGAAAAGCAGTAAGTGTGGCAGTACATACATTCATTCACTGCAACACATCCCTGGGAGAGATATTAGTTTAGTCTCCAGAAACCACAGGGCCACATTAGCAGGCTGCATTGCTCAGGACAGTGCCTTCATGAAGTCTGAGTTTTTTCTTCCTTCTAGTTTCTAAGGCAGCTCAGGTACAGTTCAGTTGTTTTATTCCATGCTCCAGTGTACAGGATAAAAGCTTATAAAAAGCTTATTTGAAGTTTATTCTTGCCCACACACACCATTAATTTGAATCTCAAATTGAAGTGGAATGTCTACCTTGCCTGAGGTTGAAAAAGAGATGTTTCTGTTTAAAGCATTACTGTTCTTGTAGCAATAAAATCTACATACTTACTTAAATTATCTAGAAATACATTGTGCCTTGTAGGGTGGGTGGGTAGCATTAGTAGTCCAAACGTGATGTCATCTGAGTAAAAGTCTTTGGCACAGTCTTCTGAAAAACAACAAAAAACCCCACAGTTTAACAACAATTAATCTGTTCAAAAAAGCTTTTGGGGATGAGCCCTTGATTATTTCTGTTTTCTCTCCTGCCATTTAACTTATTTTATATGCATCCTTAAATTGTTCACAATTTCACTTTCCAATTTTTCTATTCAATAGAATAATGTAAACACTCATGAAGAATTTCAATATTGCACACCACCTTTTACATAGCTCTGGCACTGTCTGAAATCCAAACCTGAGATTCAAATGCAATAGCCCAATGGTAGGAATGAAATTTACAGATGTAATGATGTCTACAAAACATTAATATTACAATTATTGAATTACAATTGATTTGGATTGTATTATGACCTCGCAGAATATCAGTAATACACTATGCAAACTTCTGGAAAGAAAATGCATCAATAAAATCTTAACTGTATGCACTATGGTTCAAACAGGACACATGAACTCAGAACACAACTTGAAACTCTCAGAGAACATGGCATGCAACAGCACAAGACTCCCCCCTCCTCTAATCAAACTCCCCTCACTAATAAAAAACCAATTTCAGTATGATGTGCTGAGCAAAAGCTAACTATATAACAGAGATATCGACACACAAATACTCTATTAATTCAACGAAGAAATAGCTCTCCACCTGCCACAGATCATAAATTTTGTATTCCTACACACCATGTTGTATTTTAAATACACATGCATCAACTTGGTAATATCATCTAACTGATGATAATCCTGCTGGAAAAATCTACTCCTAGTTACCCACTGTTGATATTTTCTATTCAGCACTCCCATGTGGCAAAGCATATCCTTTAGGGCATACATAAATCTATTCCCTTCCATTGTATGCAAGGATAGGCGGATTTCCTTTGACAAAAAATAACGAAAACAAAGTAATTTCTAAACCCCTGTTCTTTACCACCTTGTCCCCCAGTACACATAAAGAAGAAGCTGTCAGCTTGGGGAAGAATGCCAATGTTTGAGGAAGATTTACTGCCAAGTCTAATGGGATAGGAAATGCAGACTATTGTCACCTACATATCTATTTTCCTAAGTGGTCAAATGAAATATTCTAGTGTTGGAAATCAATTAATTAAATCAAATATCAGTATGTGGATAAGAAATGGCAATCTATATTCTACAGGGCAGGAAGTTTAGGTGCATTTAAAAAAAAAAAATCGATGCCAGTTTATGAAAGACTATTTTTCACTTCTTATGTTGGCAACATGAAGTTTAATGTAACTCAGTCTAAATCAACCATAAATCTAATTGTCTCTATAAAGGCAGTACAAATTTAACTAAAATAATTTGGAAAAGCAATTTCAGTTACTTTAGCGAAAAAAGTTTGTGATCCTTTTGACTTAGATAAAATGGCAGTATGTCAATCACCATTGATGTTACAAACTTCTATAGTCTCACACTCAATTGTACTGAAATTTATATGAAGTCCTCCAGCTTGTAGAAAAATTGTGTGCAATAAAAGGTAGTGACAGAGCTCCAGGAATGCCTGAGATGAAATTTTCAGGCACCACTGCCTGTTGTTTTGCCACTCACTTTAAAAGCAAGTTCGAGTGACAGCTAAATTTCTTAAAGGGTTAAAAAAATATATATCTTAGTACTAGAATTTGTATCCTATCCAAACTCATGAAAACAGCATATTCTCAAATCCTTTTCCTGTCTCATTTTTTTTTTCAGAGGAGCTAAACCCATCAACATAATTTGTAAGTTTCTACAGATCTTTTTCCTGCTCTATTTCATAAAACCTTCTAGTTACTCTTCCTCTTGATTCAGACTACTTTTCTGATTTCATTATGCTTTCCAGATCCTGTAAAATATTTTGCTCCATTTCCTCCAAATCTGTATATTATTTGGACTTGCTTTATGCTGACTTTTGTTTCTATATTCTCATATTACTTGTTGCTGATTTATCTTATCATGTTCTTAGAAATGAGAACTTGTTTAATTCACTCACTATGACTCGCTTATTAATTTGAATCCTTGTCCCCCTTTCTGAGGTCACTACCATCATTTTCTATGTCAGTGAAATTCAGATCACAAGCTTCTCAAGGCTGAAACTCTATCTTATTATCTATGAAACATCATGAAAAGCTCTAGGGCAGCACAAAATGTTTAGCTAAAGCTGAGCTGGAAAAAAAGACTATAAAAAAAATGAAGTAGGAAAAAAAGGCTATATAAAAAATTTAAGCACAACATTTTAGCAACAAAAACACTTCCAGAAAAATATATTAGATGTAAAATTGCTGAGATGTTAGAGAACTATCAGTGGAACTACCATACTGGCTCTGAACTGTAGTTCCCAAACACACAACTTTACTACTAGTTTGATTACACATAATGGATGTTGCTGCTGTGGATGGTAAGAAAAATTTATTAAATCACATTACTACATTAAAACTGACAGGAAAGCGTGTGTGTGTATGAAAGAATCTGCATTCCTATTCTGACAGTTCTTGGAAGCTGTGATTCATGCTGCTACTTGCTTTTCTACTCACCGTAGACGAAAACCCTGTTTCCTTTAGAGTATTTGTTGTTACTATGAAAACTACTTTAAAATAAGCACAAGTCAGAAACACCTATTTTGCAGTCTGCTATGATATTTTAAAAATTAACTATTTCAATACTTGGAGCCACTAAATTAAAATTTATGAAGACTATGTTGGTTACTGAAGGCTTGACAAGTATATTTCATATTATACAACACAGAATTCTCTAGAAATGAAAGCAGCACAAGTTAATAAAGTTTTCTTCCTTCTTACCATTACTAAGTTTTTCAGTTTTTCTAAACCAACCAGCAGGACACCCTACATTTCTCTACTGAGACTTGATAAAAATCTTCAAGTTGAACATAACGAGGCAGATTTTAGTCTGCTGTTGATTACGATAAATAGATAATGCAAATACAGGCCAGACAGGAAAAAAGGCGAGAAACGTGATTCTAGACATAAATTCAGCTCCTGCTTTTCAACAAGTAACTCAATATTACAAGATAGAGGAGTGGGCTTACTGGAGATCTGATATGGGAAATACTATCTTTTGTTCTTATGTTGACAGAAAAATATTCTTTTTATTATTATTTTGCTATAATGTCACACTATGGTATTGATGGTCCCCATCCCTTTCCAAAACAACCCAATATACTTCCTGTCTCCTCAAGTCCTGATGACACATAAAACTCCTGTCCTCCTATCCAACACAGACCCAGTGCATGCTGAAAAAAACAGGTCACTACCAAAATCCCATTGCATTATCTCTCTCTCAAGAGAGGACAGTGACACATTTCTCTCTACCCAGCTTGCCAATTTTTCCAAAACCTGTGGTAACACTGCAGTCTGTGATTTCCATCCCTCCTACAAACACGGCTACAACTGATCAACAATTTCAAAAGCTACTGGTGAATATGTAAGGAAAGAATGAGAGAAAACAAGGAAGAAGCATAAATCACATTTTCTTAGGAAATCAGTCTTAAAAAAAGGCAACTCCCTACAACTTTTAATCAAGGAACATTTCCTAGAACATTTCCTGAGCCAAGGAAATAAGCAGATTTTGGCACAATATTTTTTATCTTTTTACAACTTCACGTAAAGGTTTCAAATTAAGCTTTGGGGAACTAAGGTCTGGGAAAGTTACCACGTGAAACAAGAGAGGTTTTTTCTCCTAATGTATCTTAAGGCTTTTGGATGACTGGTGAAAATCCAAGCATTTAACATTTCTCTAGCAAGACTAATCTGAAAAATTACACACCTTTTACTTCAGCACACCAGCAAGAGACTACCTTCTCTGTATTCACAACCATTTTCTCAACAGCAACCTCTAAACTCCTGGAACATTGCTCAGCCAGGGTCCATGTCAGTAATACCTGAAACTCAAGAGGCAGTCACTGACATTGCATTTAAGATGCAATGAAATAGCCACCAAACACTTCAAATGCTCTTGATGCCAGAAAGTATTATTAACTACTTCATTAAAAACTTTACTCAAACATAAAAATGGTGACTTATGTTTTATTTGTAACAGCAGCAGGATTCTCAGAATTTAAAATATTAAATTAGCTATATTAATGTGTTTTGAAGTTTTTTTTTTTTATTAGGCAGCTTAGTATCTCATACTCTCGTTAAGATCATAATTTAAGATGTAAAAATATATATTTCCTCAGTGTTTTTAATGTCCACGAGGAAACTCACGCATTAACCTCCCTCAAGAGCCTCTTCTTGCAGGCCAGCCTGCCTCCTCTGTGCTCACAAATACTTGCCCCAGTGAAGAAAGTGCTGAAACTTTCCGGAGATCTACCAGTTCAGCAGATAATGAATGACACGCTTATGGGATCCGGGAGCATTCTTCTGCAAGCAATGGAGATACACTCACAAACTTGTGGTGCTGCAAGCTAAAAGCTCTTGTAGGTGAGGTCGCTAGAAATACTACTCCCTACTATAAAGCACTTAAAATTCTGGCATCATGCTGGATGACCAGCCCATTCCCAGCTATTCCTTCTTTTCTAAGTGTCCCACAGCAAGACTACTACTATGCAAGGTTAGTAAGTTCTGTGGTCTGCTCTGGCTGTAATAGGCAACATAATCCCAAAGAGCAGAGTCTTCATTAAAACACGGCACAAAAAGGGGATTCCATACAAAAAGATTCACAATTCTTAAGTACCAAAGCCAGTGAGAGCTGCATTATTCAGCAGAACTTTTTCAAAAGTTAAAAGAGATGCAAACTATGTAAGTAATCAGTGAACACAGTATTTTGCCTTCACCTGTTTCTGAAGTCTAGGACATAGGTAAGGTTAGTACTCACAATCCTGGTCCCGTACACATAGTTAAACTTTTCCCACCAAAGCAGGAGTAATATATTCTTGTAACATGCCATCGGGGGGGAAATATGTCTCTCATTTTGTCTAGCAGCACAGGGTTACAGCACAGTAACCTGGAACACAGAAACTGGAAAGCCAATCTCTAGTCTGCCAAACAGGGTTCAAACCATAATCTCTCAGCAGGCTCTGGATCGCACTGGGAAGGTGCATCAACTCACAACTTTTCATTTCCGTGCCAATTTTCAGAATATGGAAGCAAAACTAAAAAGTAAAGCTTTACTGGACAGAGCAGCACCAGAAGTATGCATGCCTCTCTAAGAAGGGCAGCAAATAAGAGACGTAAGTCATGGGTTCCAGTTTATAATGGCATTCAAAATTTTAATGGAACACAGGCCAGAATATAGGTGTGTATATATATATATATATAAAATCATCTCCCTTTCCTCCAAGAAAACAACTGGCCTAGTATATCTCTTTAGCCTAATTAGACTTTAATCATCTTGTCTGCAAGGAAAAGTGAGGTTCTAGACTTTGGAGTTTTTTTGGTTTGTTATTTATTTTGGACATTTCTTTTCTTTAAAGGAGACATGAACAAAACCTCTTCCTCCTCACTCCTTTATGCTTCTGAACAAAAGGGAGAGTCACCACAGGGTTTTGGTCTAAGTCCAATTCCATAGGTGTGCCTGAGGTGTGGTTTGAACATGCCTTTGAACAAGTGAAGGCCTAATTTACAGATTGCCTAATTTATGAATAGTAAACAGATTTAGATGCCAAGATGATCGGTTGCGATAAGATTCTGGAAGACGTGAATGAGAACAAAACTTCAGTGTTCAACTTTGGAAAACTTTACTAGTGAAAGCTCAGAAACCTCTAGCAAGGATACAAATTTGATTTTGGGCTGGACACACAAAATCCATCTCAATCAATTTTGACTCGTCCATATTATTTTATGGATCTGACCATATACCAAAATAACATACATCAAAATCCATCTCAGAGGTACCCACAAATATTCTTTTTAGTGGAATTCTAGAAGGACCTGTATAGAAGAATGATGTCACATGTTTAGTTTAAAAATCCACTTCAATTGGATCAGTCTTACTTCAAGAAGTGTTTTCTTCTGTTTTAACAAAAGGATAATAGTCTAATGCCATTTATCTTGTGGTACCAGGCTGTCATTATTGGTAAAATGATATTAGCTTCAAAACTGAAGCCTTCTCACATACTCTGAGATTATCAAACACATAGTTTAAAGAACAAAGCATTGAAGTAGCCATATTTATACCTAATTTGGCTACTTTTTTTATCATGAATATGAGGAATGCCTGTAGCATCTACTAAGCTGCAAAAGCATCATACTCTAAATAAGTCATTATCAGTCTTGAATCTCATATATATATATAATTTTTAAGTATCTATATTTAATAAAATATTAATACTATTAATGATGATTTCATAATATACTCAGAACATCAGTACAGGATAAGGAAAATTATTCACTGATTTTAACGACAAAATGTAACAGTTGGAAAGAGTCCAAAGTGTGCAGCTCTAAACTGTTGAAAGAATCTGTGAAGCCTTGTTATTTCCACATAATAATAAATGTATGACAACCACAGAAGACCAAAACGTTTTATGTATATGATTATATATTCTGAAAGTGGCTATAATAAAGAATTCATAACATACACAAAAGGTATGGTAAGAGAACATTAAAACTATAAATTTAAACACTCAGGAGTGAGGTATGCCAAAATTATTAACAAAGGAATTTTGTGGCAGCAGTAAGGATAGAGAATTTAATCCTTCAGGGCAGCTGCATTAACCCTGAGTCTCCTTTCTCTTCTGTGATTTTGCATTTCACATCTTTTAAGTTCTACAGCAAATGAACAATGTAATGTCTGCCAGAGTTTCAAATTATTACAGATTCCCATTGAGTTAACAAATTAACCAACTATACTCGTAAGTTCCTTTCCCCAGGTGCACCACCCAGGGAAGTGAATGAAGTACCTTCCTAATGGATATAGCCAGATTTGCTTGCACCAGTTGCAGAGACACTGAGATCTTTCATTTCAGATTCTGCTCAGAACTGAAGGTGTGCTTCCAACACATCTTTTTATTCTGAAAGATCACTAAATTCAAAATAATAATACCAATGCTACTAACAATAATTCAGTATTAGCTTAAGATGAGAGAAACATTTGAATGGTTTGGCCACTATCTGTAGTCTCACACTTTTCTTCTCCTCTAGAGATAAAGCTCCTGTAAAACACCTACTGTTCTCCCAACAGTCTGGTAACTCTCCTGGTCTTGTGCCACCTCTTCAGTGGTGAACCAGTTCATTAACAATGAAAGGTTAAAAATACTTTGCAAAGTAAATAAAAAGAAAGTAAGAATGGCTGGAACAATCACTACTGACTTTGCTATGCCGGTACCTACTAATATTAGGAAATTCTCAGGAACAGTTCTACATCTCCTTTCTCATTTGACCTTCACAGTTTGCAGTGTTCATAGGGAAGCTAGTAGTCTTAAAAAGCAGAAACACTAAAATGAATTCTTCTTTACTTCAGAGATCTACCAAAGTCTTTGCCTCGAGAAAAACTAACTCATTACAATGCGATGAAAAGGCACCTTTCAGCTGTAATTCCACTTCTTCTGAATCGTACTTTGTATTAAAAACTGGATTAGGATACTAATTTTCTATTCTAAGAGGAGAGCTATCCATAGTCTTCATCTATAAAACTAAGCTGAAACCATGAGGCACCGACAACTTTTTGCAGAAATTTAAAATATAGGGGGAAAAAAAAAGCAAAAGCTCAAAGCTCTTAAAAGCAGCAATTTCTTTTGCAAGACCAATCCAACCATGAAGATTCATGACTGCTGTGAAATTCTATACTAAGAAGTTAATTAACCAACACTACAAATTAAATTTAAGGTAATTACCACTCAGTTTTTAAATTGCTTAGTATAAAGAGAGTAAAGTTACCTACAGCAGAGGTTTTGGGGTCCTTAGAAGAGCATTAGTAATGAAAACACTCTGCTTTCCTCACATTCTTTTATTTTGCCGATATGTGTTAAACTTTTCCAGGTAAGAACATGAAGCGGAAGAAATAAAAAACAAGACATGGCTGAATGGCACCTTAAACTATTAAATATCAACCCGGAAGTTCGGAGGTTTTTTCCCTGTTTGAATTGTTTGTTAAGAAGCAGTAACCCTTGCCTTACTAACAAAATTCTCAGACAAAGCTGCCATATGCTACAAAAAGAACCTAAACCAAATACATTATATCTGGTAATCGGAAAGTAGTGTCTGCAGTGAGTTTGAGGAAGTGTCTTAAGTGGATGCATATGAAAATTAATAGTTCAATTCAAAAAAATTTAAAAGCAGAGTTTCAAATAGAATCTATTACAACAATCAAATGCCATCCAATTTCAAATAACAGGCCCAAAACCACAGATATTTATAAAGAAAGTCAATATTATTTCTGTAAAACTGAATATTGTGAAACAACTGCAACTGTTCATACTGAACTTTGCCAGGACTACCACAGTCAAGGTATATTTCTCAAGTACTTCTTTCACTAGGATATTTGCTTAAACAATCCTCTTGCCTCCTGACACACCTGTTAGCCAGAGAAATTATATAGGTTAAATATAACCACATTAAAAAGAAAAAACAAAAAACACAAAACCAAGGTAGTTAATTTTAACCTGGATCATTTCCTCAAGCTAGCTACGGGACACAATTCCACAAACCGTTGAGCTGGTGCAGCTGAAGCAAGGAAGAGGCAGGCCAGGTCAAGTCAATACTGGCACCAAAAGCATTGCTTGTGAAACAGTCATTTAAGAAAAAAGATATATTTTAAGGATTTAGAGAATCACGTTCTGTGTGATCGGCCACTCTGCCTCTACCATGCAGTTTCCTATTCCAGCCAAAGCCATATCTGACTTTCCCTGTGCCTCTTGGTAGGTTAACTCTTACCAACAACGGCCTTACAAAAATCTCACTGCAAATATGTTTGACTGGTCCACAAGCAATCCTCTTCGTGCAAAAAAAAAAAAAAAAAACCAAAACCTTTCCAATTTATATCGAGGCCTAAAATAGCTGGAATTTGAAAGTGAAACCAACCAGGAATCCTGATCCACCTTAACCCAGACACAAAATTGAAGTACCACGGATTTCCAGTCCCTCGCTGGTCGTATTTCACACCTGCATGCATGGAGTATTTAACACACTGATTTTAAGGCCGCAGTAATTCGAAAAAGGACCGGGAGCTACTGAGAATCCCTCGGTTCTACGAGCGTGAACACGCTACAGTTATCGCAATGAAGTTATCGGAACCAGAAAAAAAAAAAGGAAAAAAACCAAAAGCCTATGAAGTGCATACTCAACCCCATAACTCCAGCCCACCTGCCGCAGGGAGAGCGCGGGGCACGCTCTCGCCACCGCCCGGAGCCCGAGGCCCCGCAGAGCTGTCCCGCCGCGGGGAGGGCCCGGGGCCGAGCGGGCACCGACCGCCGCCCGCCCGCCGTGTAAACACCCGCGCTCCGCAGGGCCGCCGCGGAAACCTCCCCCGCGCGTGGGGCGGCGGGGTCGGGCGCGTCCCCTCGGCGCCCGCGGGACGAGCCGCCCCACGGAGAGGCGGCGAAGGGGCCGGGGGATGCCGGGGAGTCCCGCGCCAGCCCTGCCCGGTTCGCGGGCGCGGGGCCAGGCGGGCAGCGCTCCCGACGCGCCCGGGAGTTGTGACAGGAGCAAAGTGGGTCACCGGGCCTAGCGGGTGCCCCGCGAGCGCCCCCCGCCCCCGGCCGCGGCCGTGCCCGCCCAAGGGCAGCCGCTGCACTCCCGCCCCCCGGTTCGCGGCGAAAGACACGCCGGCGCTGTCAAACTTCCACCGCTCCCCTCCGTGCCGCGCCCCCGCCTTCCCCTCGCCGCCGCACACCGGGGCCCGGCGGGTCCGCCCGAACCGCCCCGCGCCACGCTCGCTGCTCACCTGGCCCCGCGCTGCCGCTGCCCGCCTGCGTTGCCCCGGCGAGCGTCGCTCCCCGCGCGAAGCCCCGCGCCCGCCGCCCGCCGGCACTGCCTGACTGAGCCTCCTCCTCCTCCTCCTGCTGCTCCTCCGGCGGCGGCACAGCAGCACCCGGGCCCGGGAGTCCCCCCGACACCACCGCGCCTGCGCCGCCGAGCCCCCACCGCCGCCGGCCGCCGCGGCGCCTCGCGCCACCGCGCGTGCGCCAGCGCGCACTGCAACCCGCGGCACCCCGGGGCCGCCGCCGCCGCGCGTGCGCAGGAACGGCGCACCGGGGAGGTGATCCCCGCTCTGCGCGCGCGCCTCGCCACGCGTGCGCAGGGGGGCGGGGGAGGGGTGCGCGCGCTGCGCAGGCGCGGTGGGCGCGCGCCTCCCTGACCTCGGCTCACCTCGCCTCACCTCACCCCGCGGCCGAGGAAATGGCGGCGGCAAGGAGGCACCGGGGACAGACAGGGGCAGAGCCGCCAGCCGAGCCCGCGCAAGGAGCGCCGCTGAACGGACACGCTTCCCCACCGGCACGGTGAACCCGGCACAGAATGCGGTCACACGCGCTTTCTCAAAGCGGAACAAGCGACATCCCAGCTCCTCTCCGGGAAATGCGTCCCGAGATCTTTAGGGGTTCAACGAACCCGTCCCAGCAGAGGTCCGTGGTTTCTTCTTTCCTGTGCATACACCGGTGAAATTCCCAGAGCGGCACAGACCAGACGTGTTTGCTTTTTGAGGCTTTTAATACCATTCGATAAATACGCGACGACTATTTAAACATTAACTTGTTATTCAGAACATTGCGGTGAACCGTTTTCTGTAAAATAAAACGCTTAAGAGTAATGTGCAAGTAATCCCAGTTTTTCTCTCAGTTAAAAGGATTTTGTTTCTCAGTTGATATCTGAATATCAATGTATCTAAGAGTATCTATAAAAGTTTATTCGTGTTTTTGTCTAGGACGAAATAAAGAACTTGGCTGCAAGTTGTCATGGATTTTCTTTCGCGGTTACTTTTCAGTCCAGTTTCCCCATTTGATTCACAATTGTGACCGAAGTCTTGTGCAAAGACTTCTTTGCATAAGGGTCAGGAGCTTCTTTACCTGTAATGTTCCCAAAGAGCTAACCATGAGCTTTTCCACTGGAAGAATTCTGAAAAGCATTAGTAAAAACGCTTATTTTGCTTACTGATTCATAATACTCTAGCTTTCAGCTGAGGAAAATGTGACATAAGGAAAACAAAATATTACCACTCGCACAAAGGATAACACTATTATGATGAAATGTAATAGATATAATAGTGTACGGCAGGAATGAAACATCTGTGAGAAAACGTGGGAATGGTTTCAAAAAATATGGGTAATTATCAGAACTAAAATGCGGCAAAGAAACCAGGAGGCTACAAATAACATCAGGCTGTATCTATCGAATTTGCCAGAAGATCTTTAGTAACCAATGATCACGCTTCAGAAAATGTAGGGATGCCGCACTCTCTTCACACCTCGCATGAATGGGAGCATAACACCTACTTACAGCAATGTTGCAGTAAGAAGTTATTCTTTGGGCCACATCAGAACAGGCAACACAGCTGTAGAGATGATACACATTTGCATTTTCTGCCAAAGTTGTGGCCTTTTTTTAGTGGTACTTCTCTTTTGGCAGAATTTTGTGGGATCCTGAAGGAACAGGACAGCTTAGAGATGGTGTGGTGGTTTTATGAAATTATTTTCCTAAAAATACCATTGCTCTGCTCTTCTCATCAGCATGACTTTACTGTGCAATGATCGTTCTGATTCACTCACACGGGTTATGTGAGAACCAACATAACTTTTAAACAATGCCAAATTAGGAGTATCAGATCTTCTGTGAATTGGTGAATGATGGGGCTACAGTGGGCCAGAAATGCAGAAATTTGCAGTGCACTTCCATTAACCATAGCCATGTTTCCTAGAGAAATGCCATTGCCATCCTGCACGATGTACTTCAGAGCTACAGAACAACCACCTGCTTAGTGTGTTCCTTTTTGATCCATGCTGGCCTGTTCAAAAGAGGATCTGTTTGAGGAAAATGGTTTTGAAACTAAGTTTCGCATCACTCCAGATTACTAAAATGAGTGGATGTTGACTTGAAAGCCTGTCATAATCCACATAATTCTTATAAAGCAAGGTTGGCTAACGTTCCTGGAGCCTTTTCTTCCAAACAGTATAACTGACTCAGCTCCAGAAACGCCTGGTTTTAACCTGCGGATTACTGTGGATTTTGCTGCTGCTTTGTCACATCTGATGGCTTTAATTACAACCGCGTGGTCACTTTGCTTGGACAAAGAGAGGGTCACCAAAGGGGACGTTGGGCTTTTTTCCTGTCTCATCTGCTTCCACTGTCACACACCCTGCCTGTGTCCCTGGCAGCAGCCACAGCAGTGGGAGGGAGGCTGGCCGCTGGGAGGAAGCAATGCTACTTTTATAGCAGCCAGCTTTGATACTTGAAGGGACTGCGCAATCGTATCTAAAGTCCCTGATGACCTATTTACATTTAAAACTGCTAGCTGGCCTTCTAGCTGCAAGCGGCAGACAATGGCAGATATGCCATTGTCTCTGAAATGCATCTACTACTTATCTCTTTGAACCTGCAAAATAAAAGTTTCCAGTATCTGCCAGTAGGCTCACCAAAGGAGTAGAAAACCATATTTGAACTAACTTATGTCAGAACACATGATCTTAATCAGAACTTTTTCAAGCAATACATGTTTTTATCACATCACTGTTGTATTGTCCAACTTCTGCAGTAATAACAAGTAACAATTTATTCTGATACTGCCATAAATTCTCACAAGAGATAAAGGAACTGACGTTTTCTAAAGAGAAAGATACATGTCAACAACAAAAATTAGAGCCAGCCCAACTTTATCTCAGTAAAATATCTAACCATGAAATTGCAAAATACCCGTGCTTAGGCAATATTCTTACCACAGGATTACATCAATTCTATACTAATTCTTGGCTTTGTTTGGATCTTTTTTTCTCTTAAAAAATAATAAAATACCTTTTCAACCTTTAGATCTAATGATTGCAAACAACAAAAAAATTCCATAATGTGAATTATTTCGAAATACTTCTAGTACCTTTTGCTTTCAGATATATTCCTCCATGTTTAGCTATTCCAATGCCTTGTATTTCACCAGTTTATATACAAGTATTGTGGGTAAACACCTGTCCTGGTAATTCTGAATGCAGCAGTTTACAATGGCTTTGAGAAACTTGCCTTCTGGAAGCTTTCAGGCCAGCAGGTTGAGGTGTTCATTAACCAATAAACACATTGGGATACTAGAAAAGAATAAGGAAATATAATGACACTTCTGGTGTAAATGATTTGTAAAATAACTGAAGTTATTAAAGCATTTAAAGAATACATGTACATTTTCCTATAGCCTGCTTCTTCTACTTTAGTTTGTTATGAGAATTGCAGGACAAGTTTTATTTAGCTTCTTCCAAGATCATTGGGCTTTAAAGAGCTGTTAAAGTAAAAATACATAGCAGGCACAGTCTACAAAATATGTTACCATACAAAATATGTTAAGCTACCAGACACTTTAAGCAAAACTTAAAAATTATTAAACATTCTGTACTAATTCTCAGTGCTTTTCAAAAACACCTAATAGAGTTGCTAACATACACAGAATTAATCATGGGAGTCCTTTGACATTTCTGCTGCATCCTGTCACAACTTCTGCTACCATTAGAGAATTTACAGAGCAATCAATAAACTAAAAGGTCCCCCAGCTTTCCTCAGCCTGCATAACTGAGACTTTTCCTGATGGGCTTTTGATTTGTTCAAGTCAAAGGGGAAATAAAGACAGAATAATCCTGTTAGACCACACTCCCGCTGAGAAAAGAAACTGCAAACAGTGGGCACCACCTTCTCAGCAAAACTCAGATCTCAGTAAAGTTACATACATGGTGATAAGCATGCACAGCAAAATAAATCTACCATGTATTTGAACAAAAGTGAACGATTAACTCTCAGAAAGTGAATTAACAAATCGAGTGGATCAGATGCTCTATGATTCTATTGCTTCCAAAAAAATGCTATTTGTTTCTTCTATTTAATTTTTCTAATTTTGTCTTTTAAAATAATTTCAATTATTTGTATTGAAGTATTCTGCATCTTACACAAGAATGTAATTACCTTGACCAATAAAGATGAATTATAACCCAAACATCCTCTGAAGCATTTGTAAACTTCTTTTGCATACTGCTTTCCACAAGTTTCTCTTAGCTTCACACACTTTTGCTTCCTCTGAAGACATTTCCATTCCTGCAAGAACTGCTGCCTGATTAGAAAGTAAAAATAATAATAAGCATCTTTGGAACATTTTACTTACATTTTAAAATAATACCTAGTGCATCTCAATTACTTAAATTATTTGAGTAACTCTTGACCATGCAGTCTTAAAATTTTAGAACTAGAAAGACTTCATGCAAATATTGATTCAATACTATAACATTAAGATTAATTTTCTTAATTCATCAGTATCGGATTGAGGAAACTTGAGCAACAAACAAATTGTACAAGCATTTCTCATTTGAGATGAATCAAGAAACATTAGAGCACGTACTCAATATTTGTGTGATTCTGCATATAAGATTAGTTTAAGGAAGAATATAGTACTTACACTAGTATTTACCAGACAGCTTTAAAATAATTAATGATAACTGAAACGTAAAATCAGTAGATGGCAGTCTTCATCTATAAAAATACTTGCAAGGTAGGAAAGGAAAACGCTTTCTGAAACTTGTCGAACTACAAGCAGCTATTAATTACAGTAACTGAAAGCTACTGTGGAATTACTTTTTGTAGATATTGGAGCCTGGGAAAACAGAAATATAAGAATTAATAACAAAAGTTGCACCTGCTGTTGTTGATAGGATGCATGCGTGTGAGACATGATGTTTTAGTAAAAGCATGTTTGTAAGAGGTGTTGCTTTCCTTGGACCAATAAGCTGACCCTATTCTTGGTTCAGCAAAGTAGTCTATGAAATGTGTGTATTTC